TGTCTACGTGTACCGCACAGCATCTTCAACCCTACAAAACTACCATCCCGAACAACTCCACAGCTTCAAAGTGAGCACCAAATCCAACAAGACCGTAACTAACTCCTAAGTCAAAGCCATTACCACACAAACTTCCTTATCAGAGACTGACTAACAGCTATAATGGCAGTTACACAGCACCTCTACCCCTCCTTCCCCTCACTTCCGAGACTACCACAGTTGGCACCATCACCACCGCATCTGGCGCAATCACGCGGCAATCGCACGTCTTCCCCTTGGCCTTGCATACAGCCCGCAAATCACAGCCACGAGCATGCCTTCTCGTCCGAGTAGTAATACTGAGGGGCATAGTTATCACGGGCTATACTGACACGGGAGAAATTAGTGCAAGTTGCACAATACACATAGCAGATACCCACTGTGCGACGCTTTATAAACGAACACCCTGGCCTTCTTACCATTGACATAACTACTATATCTCTCTCCTCCTCACTGCCCATTACTCAAGCCGACCGCCACGATTAACTCATCAAGTATTGCAACATGGGCTCCGCCGAGAAAAAACAACTCATCCTCAATGCCTTCGCCATGCAATCGCCCTCGCACCTGAACCCAGGTCTGCACCGCTACCCCAAAGACCAAGGCCACAAGTACACCTCCCTGCAGAGCTGGATCCGCGTCGCACAGAAGCTCGAAGCGGCTAAATTCCACGCCATCTTCTTCGCCGACGTCCTGGGCGGCTACGACGTCTACAAGGGTCCCGCGAACCTCGACCCGACTATCCCCGCGGGCGCGCAATTCCCTATCAACGATCCGCTGTACAGTATCCCCGCTATGGCGGCTGCCACGGAGACGATTGCTTTTGGTGTGACTGCGTCGACGACATACGATGCGCCGTACGCGATGGCGAGACGCTTCTCTACTGTTGACCATTTATCCAACGGTCGGGTGGGATGGAACATCGTCACGTCGTATTTGGAGTCTGCGGCAAGGAACTTCGGATTGAATACCCAGATTGAGCATGATGAGCGGTATCGCATTGCGGATGAGTATCTCGATGTGACGTATAAGTTGTGGGAGGGGTCATGGCGCGATGGGGCTGTGTATAAGGGGGATGATCGCGATGGGGTGAAGGGGTATGCGGATCCGAAGGCTGTCAGGCAGATTCATCACAAGGGGAAGTACTTTAATGTTCCTGGACCGCATCTGTGTGAGCCGAGTCCGCAGAGGACGCCGTTCTTGTTGCAGGCTGGTACGTCGTCGGCGGGTAAGGCGTTCGCGGCGAAGCATGCCGAGGCGATCTTTTTGAATGGACAGACGCCGGAGCTGGTCAGGCCGAGTGTTGATAGTGTGAGGGAGCAGGCGAAGGCGCTGGGTCGCGATCCTGCGGGGATTAAGATTGTCGCGGGTGTGTTGGTTATTGTCGCGGAGACGGATGAGGCCGCGCAGGCCAAGTTCGAGGAGTATGCGAGGTATGGAGATCGCGAGGGCGCGTTGGCGCTGTTTGGAGGCTGGTCTGGGTATGATCTGTCGACCTACGATGATGAACAGGATTTCCGGTTCGTGGAGCAGCCGGCGGTGCGGAGTATGGTTAATCACTGGGCCAGTACGGTGCCTGGGATGGAGGGAAAGAAGTGGAATAAGAAGACGATTGCGGATTATTTGATTATGGGTGGGAATGGATGCAAGATTATCGGTGGACCGAAGACAGTCGCGGATGAGTTGGAGAGGTGGGTGGAGGTTGCTGATGTGGATGGGTTTAATCTCAGCTATGCCAGCATTCCTGAGACGTTTGATGATATTATCCAGTATCTTGTGCCGGAGCTACAGGCACGCGGTATCTTCCACACAGATTATGCGGTCAAGGGCGGCACGATGCGCGAGAATATGACGGAGCAGAAGGGACAGACGAGATTGCCTGAGTCGCATCCGGGCGCAAAGTATTTCTGGCGTGAGGGCGAGGAGGTGCCGAAGTATGCGGAAGGTCAGTGAGACGGGTTGACAAAATGTAACGATAAGCAGAGAATAAGATGAAACTGTCGAGTATGCTTCTCTATGCGGTGATAAACTCAGTGCGATCTTAGCTTCCAGTTCCACTGGCAATATGTCGGTCGACCTCGGAATAGCTCGATAAACAAGATCTGTAAGAATAAAGTCTCCATGTACGTCACCCATGTAAGTAAATCTCTCATAAAGAATAAGCACAGTGCTGGGAAGAGATCTCGTCAAGGCTAGAGCACAATTTGTGACTTTTGTACGGTACCACTAATAAAGTCAATGCCACCACAAAGCTAGTACAATCTGGGGTAGCGCTCGGATAAGTCGGGTCAGCTTGGCTCGGGCATTCAAGCGATCTCATTTCTAGAACAATATATCGCGCATACACTCGTATACTGAGTTTGCAGACGGAAGAAAGACTATACTTGGGAATCATGGAGGTGAGAGTATTTCATGCAGATATGTGAGGTTAAGTTCGGGTGGAGCAAATTCTATGATATGCTGCCTGTTCGTCTCTGTCAATGTGTTTTGAGCCCTAGGACGCTGTATGTATGATGTTTATCGGATCGTCAGGGGATGGCATATTCAGAAGCGGCTTGAATTGCCTGTTGGAGATAAAGATATTGTCGCTCAGTGAGGCATTTGTTCCTTCTTGCTGTGCCAATGATGTTGCACTTTGGAGAGCTCCGTCACGGACATCCGTTAGGCGTCCCGCTTTGATTCACTAAAATGCCGCATATGCTATCCAGCTTCCACCAGAATAAACTATGATTCTTGTTGCTAGCTTTCTTTCGTTATTTACAGGGCAACAGCTAACTGTATCTCATACTTTCCCATTCAACCTCACTCAGTTCCTTCAAGATCATACTAGTCAGTAATATACTACCAAGTGGATAGCAGGTACATGATCGATCTCTTATGTTACCATACATGACAGATGAGTATATGTACGATAATATACCTCAAGGCTGTCGCCAAAATAAGGTCCCTCTGAGCTGCCATGAGGGTCAAAGAGTCTCCATCGGGCAAAAGCATCACACGCCAATCATCCACCACGGGACTCAGTGCTCCACAACCGGGCAAACCAAGCATTCGGATATGGGAAGTGAAGACAATCCATCATCAGCGGTACCTGCAACATCGCAACTATAAATACAGGCCTTTAGCTGCTGTTCACCATGACGATTTCACTCCAGGTTCATCTTTCTGTATCCATCTTCATCGTCAAAAGCTGCTAAAATGGTTCCTGCCATCCTATGCACCAGTCTTTTGCTTCTCGGCCTCGGCCAAGCAGCAACCGTCCCTCTTCCGCCAAGCACCGGACCATGCGACGTCACGCTCAAGGCCAGCGAACTAGTCGACTGGTCTCGAGCCAATCCATTTGACCCAAAAGGGGGTAAACGTGCCCTCATGGTCACGACATTCACACCCGTCAACTGCGGGAGTGTGCTCTCTGAATCCTACATCCCGAACGCAACAGCAGCATATGAAGATGAGACATTCCAGTCTTTCGGGCTGCCTGCAGGGACGTTCGAATCTCTTCGCATCCAGACACAGCAGCAGCAATCCTCCTCCAGCGTCAACGAAAGTTACCCAATTGTGCTCTTCTCACCCGCTCTGGGAGTATCAAGATTGATGTACACCTCGCTGCTTCAAGATATTTCCAGTCACGGGTTCGCTGTCATCTCCGTCGATCACCCGTATGATGCCGATATTGTGGAGTTTCCCGATGGTAGCACGATTTTCGGTGTCCTCGAAAACACTACAACAGATGCACAATTCACTTGGGCAATGAATGTTCGCGTCCAAGACATGATCTTTGTTTACAACCAGACTCACAACGAGACGGCGGTCAATGAAATATTCCCCTTGTCATTGAGAAATCCAGATCTACTGTCTCTCAACCGAGTATCCATCACTGGTCATTCCCTTGGCGGTGCAACAGCAGCGCAGACAATGTTGGTTGACAACCGATTCGTCGGAGGCATCAATTTAGATGGTACATTCTGGGGATCTGTCCTGAAAAAGGGACTGTCCAGCCCGTTCCTATTGTTCAGTAACGCCAATCACACCGCAGAAACCGATCCTAGCTGGGGAACATTCTGGTCAAATCTACGAGGATGGAGACTGGAACTACGACTCGCACAGTCTAAGCACTATTCCTTTTCCGACTTTCCGGTGCTGATAGATTCTCTGAGTATCTCTGACGAAGTGAAAGAACTTGCTCGGGCTGCTTATCTTGGTACGATTGGCGCTTTGCGGGCTAAGAATGTGGTTGTCTCATACATGGTTGCTGCGTTGCAGTATTTTGCTTATGGGCGCACGTCGGATCTACTGAGTGGCCCTTCCGCGGCGTATCCGGATGTCACTTTTGTACATTCTGCCTAGTCCAGTGGGGTGCTGATATATGCATGTCCAGGAGGCTATTGCATTCGCAGTAGTGCTGTGCGAGAAGCTTACCATACATCTGAATGAGCATATCATGGATCAGAATAGACAGTGCTCGAAATAAATAGAATTGCTGAACTTAGCAGACTTCGCCTCGTATGAGTTACTCACTGAGTGTAAGTGAAATATAGCCGCATGTACTAGTCACGTCAAGTAATTCACAAACTCGGCCAACACAGCACCGAACCTGTTAATGCTAGGCTTAGTCTAGCTTTATCCATCACATCACAATATTGATAGAAGGCTAGTCGCCCCTGTGAATCCTTGGAAGCAGTCTGCAGCAGCCTCACCCTGTGATTTAGCCGCCGCACATGTCTCACAGAGTACTTAAGCGCCGGCTGAGGGGAAACTGTTCCATATATAGCTTTGTGGTGCAATTAGGGGGAATCCCGGCGTCTTGAAGGTGTCAAGGATTCACAGGTCCGGAATTAGCCGCCGTGAATCCACCACATGTTTAAATTCTTTACTTCTGGCTCCAACTGTTGTGTCTCTACAAATTACTCAGTATCACTTTGCATACCTACATTGTGCATTAAACGATCACACATCACCAAATGGGTGACTTGGGACCATACCTCGACTACGATGGAGAAGACTACATCTGTACTATCTGCGACAGATGGTTCACGACTGAAGGTGCGCTCTTCGCCCACTGCAGAGCGACCACGCGACATGAATGGTGTGAGAGATGTCGTCGGGTATTTGTCTCAGAAGACTCGAAGAATGCACATGTCCGCGCATCCAAGAGACATAATATTTGTCGTTCCTGTTGCGAACCAATAGACTTTGAAACCGATGATGATCTTCGATACCATCTGGAGGATTATCATCATGCTTGTCTTGAGTGCAATATATTCCTCGGGTCTGCTGAGAATCTCCTAAGCCATGATATCTCTGTCCACTATTATTGCAATATCTGCGACAGATATTTCGGTAATGAAAACAATCTAAGAATGGTAAGCTGAGCTTCAGATCATTTTCAGGGATGCTAATTCATCTGGAATCAGGGGCCTGTCAATCAGGGGTTTCGGAAGAGACGATTGATGATTTAGCGGCGGAGTGTTACCAGAGCAGGAAATATATCGTTGACACAGATGGAGGCTGGCGGTATGAGTGTCCAGACTGTGAGAGGCAGTTCTGGCAGCTATCTGCGCTGTACCAGCATGTTGAGGATGTCCCTGCCTGCTCCTATCTTGCGAATGGGGATGGTTGTCTGGCTAAGCTTGAGCGCTTTATGGCTTCCAGGTTGCCATGACTCCATGCACTCCTCCATGTTAACTCCTTGTTCTTGCTAGAGACAAATCACAACAGTTGTGTGAATTGATTCTCCGGGCTCACACGGTACCGTATCATCCATTCATCCTAAGTGCATAGACGTGACAGCGGGCCCGTATTGACTCTTGCGCATCCTGGTGCACGCATAATGGAGTGACAGCCCCGTATTAACGGCTGTGCGTTCTGATGCACGTAGTTGAAGTGAATAACCAAATCAATTCTAAAACTATAAAAGGGACCGTGTGAAGCCCATTCCTCGATCATTCCTAAATACCTCAAGTTGTATCTTAGAATTTTCAGTTTGCACTTTCCAACACCGCTCCTTGGAAGAGAAATTAAACCACCATGAGTCGTGTTTACATGTTCTATCTCGCCCTAGTGGCTATCCTTCTAGCCCTATGCTTGGCCAGCTCAACCATGGACTCTTCTTTGACCTCACTACCGACTAGCCTGGCGTTAAGACAGACATCAGGGGCACCACGTCTACTGAAGTCAACAATGAACCCTCCACCGACGACCATGACTAGGTATTCCACACTCTTATCAACGGTATCATCATCGTCCTCGTCATCATCAACATCATCTTCAGCAACAACAACAACAACCTACTTCATCATCCTCCGCACCAGCAACACCAACCACCTCGACAACCTAGGCGCCAGCATCCTCAACGTCAACTCCACAACCAACCAAACCACCGCCATCTTCAACTGCCAAAGCAGCAAGCTCGGCAACTGTCTCATCACAGTACCAGTATCAGCAACGAATGGCCCGTCAACTGCAGAACTCACTCTCACGAGCGTCGACTCAGTCACTCCCTTAAACCATCGTCTGAAGTCCACCACATCCCTAGTGATCCAATATGCGATCCACACGTACGTAGTTCGATGCGACATCACAGCCTCCTTTAACGCTTCCTGCACTACTACAGACTATGCCTGGGAGTCCTCTGACGCATCCACGTTCCCGTATACGTCGACTTATTCGAGGACGGTCTCGGCTCTAGCGTATATGTCTATTCCGATTACAGCTGGGTTAGAAAAGTTGAGCAGATCGGTTGGTGTGTCTACGGCGGTTGCAGATCCTACTGCGTCGGTGACGGAAGAGACGGGGCTACATCCTGAAGAGCATTTCAGGAGTCCGTTAGCGTGGATAGCTGCCCCCATTGTGCTTCTCGTTGTGGCGGGTGCTTTGATTGCTGGTGTTATGTTTTGGCGGAAACGGAAGAGATCTGCTGATCGGCCAGCATCATCGGAGGGTGGGGACGATACGACTTGGGGTGGTTTTGGAAAGGCGGAGCTACCGACTGTGGGGTGTGGTATTGTGGAGGCTCCGGGACATGAGCAGGAGTGGGTCGAGTTGGTCGCCGTTGGGAATGAGATATCGGAGCTGCCGACGAATTGGAATGTGGCGGAGTTGTCGGCTACTTGGGAGGTGGCTGAATTGCCTGGGTGATTTGATAAGGTGCAATATTGTGGTCGGTGGTGTGTCTAAAATATGAGGTGGGTTTGGAGCCATGGGAATGCAGGGAATATAATGGGACTGAGTGAAGATTCTGGATTTGAAGATTCTGGATTCATGAAATGTGATAGCGTGGTGGGCAGGTTTATGTGTAGCGACACAGTAATGAGATTAGATACAGTCCTCTTCATTTGTCACTGCCAACATAATTTATGCCTTAGTACATTTATTAATCTTCGTGTATCACTCTACCTATGCACCGGTCCGTCTTTGCTGGTCAATAAGAATCGACAAAGGTCCGATAGGAGCGTCCTCCCGATCTAACATTATCTCAACCATCCGCAACTCCTTCCCATTGCTGACAACATCATTCGAAAGAACATCCTGTAGCTCTTTCCAAGTTTTAACTGATGCAGTAAAAGTATCTTCGCTAGCTCCGAAGAAGCTAGGGGCCTGTAGATATCTCCACCGCGACACATCGTTGTATCCCTGCTGCCGACCGTGGATGCACCGCTCGATAGTGTATCCGTCGTTGTTGATGAGGAAGACCACGACATTCAGCTTCAGTCGAATGATCGTAGAAAGTTCCTGTGCAGTCATCTGGAAGCTACCGTCGCCGATGAGAAGGACCGTGCGTGCATCTTTGATGCCATGGTACTTGTCCGATGCCATCAGCTCCTCCTGCGCAAGAGCAGCACCCTGTGCTCCTGGTAACATGTATCCGATGGAGAGCCAGGTTACGGGTGCGAAGAGGCGGGTGTGCTTGGGAAACGGCATCTCACGGACACCATATCCTGCCGTGCCTGTTTCTCCCAGTAAGATGTCGCCTGGACGAAGGAAGTTCGCAAACACTCGCCACAGTTTATCCTGGGAAATGGGTTTATCTCCCTCCACTTCGGAGAATGAGACAAGTTTATCACGGGGCAGGTTAGGATAAGGGTCATAGCGATGGATTCGGTTGAGGTCGATGGTCTGGATCAGACGAGAAGTGGTGAGCTTGGCAGGAATATCCCGAACAATCTCCGTGCCAAACTTGACTTCGTTATCGGTGAACAATATCGCAACCTCAGGCTTGGGGATAATCTGGTAGAAGTAGGAGTTGGTGGAGCTGAAGTGCGGTCCGAAACACAGCACCAGATCTGCTCCCTTGTAAAAGTCCTGCACTTCGGTCGGGTCATAGTTGCCGCGGTAGATTCCATGGAAATTTGGCCGGGTATCATCCACCAACCCTTTTCCGAAATTGGTAGTCCAGGTCGGGAAGTTTGTGGCGTTGATAATCTTCTGCACCTCGTCCACAATGCCTATCGGTCTGATTTCTCCATCGACGAGAATAATCGGTTGCTTTGCTGCATAGATGCGTTCCAGGATTCGCGCTACAGCATCATCTTGAATCTGTGAAGGAACAGGCTCGGGTGTGCTGACGGCGAGCGCGAGTCTTTCATCTGACACGTACTGGTGCACCATATCCATTGGCACCTCGATATAGACCGGTCGGCTATGAAGGAGACACTGTCGTAGTACCTCATCAATTTGTGCTGGAGCGGTGCGTGGATCGCGCAAGCTGGTTTGGGCGATAGTCAAATGTTCGTAGATCTTAGCGAAGCGCCCATATTCGCCATCATTGAAGGTATGGTGGATTAATTTGCGTCCCTCCTGCAAGTCCCGAGCTGGTGTTCCCACAATGTGCACGACAGGCGCCCGTTCAGTGTAGGCTCCTGCGATGGCATTGACAGCAGACAGCTCCCCGACACCGAAAGTGGTAACAACGGCGCCAATGCCTTTGATTCTGGCGTACCCGTCGGCGGCGTAGGCGGCGTTTAGCTCGTTCGCGTTACCGACCCATCGCAACCCGGCTGGCTCCACATAGTCGAGCAAAGTGAGATTAAAATCGCCGGGCACACCGTGGACGGAAGCTACGCCCAGGTCTTTGAGCCGACGGAAGAGGTATTCAGCAACTTTGATGGAAGGCATGTTGAAATGGTGGCAGATGGAGAAGAGCAAAGAACTCCGTTAGGAACCGCGGTTCTTATCAACTTATCAAGGTTACCCCGCCCGTGACCCTTTTCTCCGACTCGCCGATTCTCCGATACCCGGTCCGGTGGGAGCGCCGCTGCCCGCCAATAGCCGCTCGATTCACTCCTCTTTGGATATTATTCTACTATATTTAGCAGATGGGTATCGAGGGGGAGTTCTAGTGCAAAAGTACGGTGCTTTCAAGTAGTTCTGGGTGACTATCACTGCTGGAAACTGTATTCCAAATTCCAAATAACATCGTTTAAAAGGATATATATTTCTAGGTCTTAATATTTAAGTGGGTACAGGAAATGAATCTAATACAAATCTATTGCTCGAGTCTGTGAAAGCTATCCTAAAAACGGTGTTAAATACTGACCTATATAAATGAAAAGTCCATGCCAAATAACCGAGACGAAAATAGGAAGGAGTATTTATGCCCAGGATCATGAAGTCATGTAGGCCCAAAACAAAAGTTCCACGCGGAGATCCTTATCAATGTCATTGATCAGATAAGAAACGGCACCCACAATAAAACCACGTGATACCATTAGCTGCTCATCATCACGTGGCATGTGTTCCCCTCGTGAGGGGAATGTGTGGATGAGTCAATCAATTGTGTCACGGTAGTAAATCCGGCATCAACCACTCATCATAGAGAATACCAACCCCAAGGACTAAATTTGGAAAACAGCGAATAGTGCTTTGCGACCAATTGTGATGGATTCCGAAATGCCATCCTGGCAGAAAGCAGCCCAAGCTAAACGCCAAGCTATTCTGGATGCAATTCCCCAGAAATGGAGAATTCAGCATGACACCCTACCGGTTGATGTTACCGGTGAATTTATCCAGGGGTATTTGACCCCTCGTGAGATAGAGATTACCGAAGCCGATGCTGTTGCAATTACAAGTCAGACCACATCGGGAAATTGGAGTGCTGTCGAAGTGACGGAAGCTTTCTGTCATAGAGCTGCTATTGCTCATCAGCTTGTATGTTACCCAGACGTCGAGGTTATTGCTTTAAGATGCGTCTATTGATTACAGAATAGGTCAACTGTCTACATGAGGTATTCTTCGAAGATGCCATTCGTGTTGCCAAGGAGCTCGACGAGCATTTGGCAGTAACAGGGACACCCAAAGGCCCGTTGCATGGACTTCCAGTAAGTCTGAAGGACCAATTCCATGTCAAAGGTGTCGACACAACTATGGGTTACGTGGGCTGGATCGGCACCTATCAAGGAAAAAAAGACGACCCCCGCCATAGGGTGGCAGAGAGTGAACTCGTACGGGAGCTTCGCAATCTCGGAGCTGTATTGTTTTGTAAAACCAGTGTTCCCGTCACACTCATGTCAGGAGAGACAACAAACCAAATCATTGGTTATACATGGAACCCCAAGAATCGCAATCTATCTAGCGGTGGAAGTTCTGGGGGAGAGGGGGCCTTAATTGCTCTCCGTGGTTCACCGGCCGGATTTGGTACCGATATTGGTGGTAGTGTTCGGATTCCTGCTTCTTTTAACGGGATTTTTGGGCTGCGCCCATCTGCGGGAAGAATTCCGTACGAAGGCGCGGCGAACTCCATTGACGGCCAAAACACCATTTTGTCAGTCATTGGCCCGTTGGCGACAAGTATTGGGGGGCTAAAGTTACTTTTCAAAGCCATCCTCTCCCAGGAGCCATGGCAGTACGACCCTCTCTCTTTGCCGTTGCCATGGAGAGAGGATATCGAGGATCAAACGAAAAAGTTGATTACGGAGAAGGATAGTACAACTTCTCAACTCACCTTCGGTATCATGCGACATGATGGACGTGTCAAGCCACAACCGTCTGTGAAGGTGGCTATGGATCTTATGGAACGCATTTTGAGGGACTTGGGCCACCAGGTAATCGGAGATGAAGAACCTTCTTGCTGCACTGATCTAACACGCGTATTAGGTCATAGAATGGGACCCTAAGTTGTGCCGCGAAGGACAAGAAATTGCGGTACGTCAAAGTCTGGCATACATAGCGATGATAGTGTGCTGATGCTCCGCAGAGCGAAACCTACGATATGGACGGTGGCGAAGACCTTTTGAGTCACATTGCCTTGTCAGGAGAGGCACAAATCCCTCAATGCTCCGTCGAACCAGTGAAACACTTCAATGCCAGAGAGGTAGCGGAACTCAACGTGCAGAAAAGGGAATACCAAAAAAGGTATATGGACTACTGGAACAGCACGGCCAAGTTAACCACAACTGGAAGGCCAGTTGATGCTGTCATCTGCCCAACCGCGCCTCATGCAGCTGTCGTTCCGGGAAAATACCGTCATACCGGATATACTTCGTTTATCAACACTCTGGATTATACGAGCTTGGTAGTTCCTATATGCTGTGCTGACAAGCATCTTTCGTCCATGAACGAACGGTCAGAGATTCTGAGTGAATTAGATCGGAAGATCTTCGAAGAATGTAAGTAGGTCTTGTTACGCCCATCTGAAGCGGATCCTGACCTTATTAGACGATCCGAAAATCTACCACGGAGCACCCATTGGGCTACAATTATTCGGCAGGCGGTTGGAGGAAGAAAAGATCATCACGATCGCTGAATATCTTTCCGAAAAAGCCAAAGTTTATACCGGACAATGAGAACTGAAGACTTCATCCACAGATCCGGAATCAATCATTCGATGACTGCTTGGTTAGGTCCAACTTACTCTACACCATGTGCAAAAGGCATGCTTCGTTGGCATTGATGAGAATATAGCGCCGAATTACTGATAGCGAATTGTATATAATGGCTTTAGTCATAGTCAAATCTAACTCAGCCGAGGAGCGCATTGAAGGTGGTGGCTGTCACAGTTCAGGACAACATGATGAACGTTGGTATTTCCAGGATTGGAAGCTAGCTGCAGCAGATAGAAATGAGGATGCCTAGAGAGCTAGTAGGTGGGTCCTTATATACTAAGCTCACGTTGTGATGACAATTGCCGTGTGTCAATCTGGTCCCTCATACTCAGGGCTACTCCATGCAATGTCCACTAGCTTTCGAAGATACGATATCCGTATCCCTTGACTGGATGGATAAAGCCATAAGAAATTCATTTGACACTACACTAGCTCATTCTGACTATAATCGTATCCTGCTGGTATTCCTCAGAGCTTGTTTTTGAGCTTGTACGGATCAATATATAGCCTAATGCGAAAGAATTGATGCGTAGCGGCGGAAGAGGTCCGATCATCTTAAAACACTCAGCATCTATCGCCTTCCTCTTACCATTATTTTCTTATTAGGCCAGTTTATGCATATTAAGGGTAACCTACCATGTGGCTCTACGGAACCGTTTAGTCTATCTAATATGTGCAAGTAATTGCACCTCCCTCGATGGAGATTCACTTGGCATGTTCCACACAGTATTTAAGGGGAACGCAACCTGCTGCGGTGCTCGACCGCGTTTTTAGGCAGCCATCTCTGCTCTACAGGGATCACCTATAATAGTCCGGTCCACGCTTGAGAGTTTAGTGACCCCACTCTAAGCTGCAGTGGCAGACTTTTGGGTAAAATAAACGCTCGTATGCTTTTGCCACGGCTCAAAGCACATGGCACACTTCCAAAAAGGAATGAAGCTGCATATCCATAGAGTATCTGTAGAGTAGGTCCCACTGGCCACTGCTTCGTATGAATTGATTTCTCCATTTTCTGAACACGCAATATTGATTAGTACCTTCTCCACGTTTAGCATTGCTTATCTTTAGTGGAAAGCTAAGATGATACAAGGTTAGACTAAGTCATGGGCCATCATCTCCCCTCGCCCGCAAGGGCTTCGGGTCGATACTCCACTGATAAGTGTGGCTGTGCTGTTGGGGTTGTAACAAATGATGGCCCGATTATTCTACATGGCATTTGAATACTATAGATGCCCTTAGGCTGTGGTGATAGCCACCTGTTTACCGTCCAAATCCAGACACCATTTGCATAACACTGTACGTTGATTTGGGTCTGCCTGCTGGTTAGTGGTGATTGAAAAGATATAATTATGGTGTGTGGTGTGGACCTGGGCCCTTTCCCGGACGAAGCTTAAACGAAAGTGGAGAACCAGCAAAGTCCGACATCCAGGGATGGAGATTAGCGCCGAACCATGACACATAATCAGAGGCCCTGAACCCACGGTACATTTTCTACAATGCTATTCATTTGACTACCTAGCAACCCCTCTGCACCACTGAGGATGTGATCAGCGATGGCTGACGCGTTCTCTCATTAATCCTTCACAAGCCAAGCTCCAAAAACCTTGCTAAAGAGCTTCAGGCTCCAACCTGACAATGAGTTCGAGCATGAATTTGGCTCAGCATTATCTCTTCAGGGGAGGGAAATTTCAGTACTCACCGCAAGGTCTGGACTTCACCTTCAAGATAGCTGTAACAAGCAGCCCACATTTCTCCGACATCGTGTTGACATTCCTACTCAGTCAGTTCGTAGGAGTTTAGGCAGGGAAGATATATAAACTCCCATCTACCCTCTATCTTTTCATTCAGAACATCCTACACACAACCATCTTGTTCCTCATCGACTTGAAAACTTCGGCCGCCATGTTCAAAAACATCGTTACCGCAACTCTGCTCTCCTCTGCTCTTGCCAGTGCCTCTACTGCGCACGCGGATGGCAAAGCACCCTGTGCAAAGGTTCACATGATGCTTGCGCGCGGAACCACCGAAAGCTATCCTGGTCTGCTCGGGTCTTTGACTGACCTGGTCATGGATGCTATTCCGGACAGCGATTACGAGAATATCATCTATCCTGCAACCCAGGAAGGATCGACCCCCAGCTATGAGGAGGGCATCTACAATGGCACTGCGCAGCTGAAAGCTTATGTCAAGGCTTGTCCGGAAACCAAGGTGGTGCTGTTTGGATATTCTCAGGTACTTCCCTGTCCTTCGGTTTGTGTTTCGAAAGAGTATCTTACTGATGCTCTCGTAGGGAGCCATGGTTGTGAGCGATATGTTGGCCGGTGGCGGCGATAATGGAACTTTGGGAAATATCACTGCTCCTGCTGTTGATCCTGAGACTGGATCCCATAGTAAGTGACTAACCTGGATGTACGTCAACAAGGTTTATGTTAATTATTATCAGTCGCCGCTGTCCTTCTTTACGGAGACCCCCGTCACATGCCCAACCAGACGTACAACGTCGGAGATGTGACTGCAACTGGCGTAAGTTATAACCAATTAACCATGAAATAGCTGAATTGGCTAGTTGGCTAACATTCCACCTAAACCAGAAATACCCACGCACTCCCGAGCAACTCGCAGCCCTGTCCATGTACGCCGACAGACTCCACGACTACTGCGACGACAAAGATGGTGTTTGCGATGCTGCCGGAACTAACCTCTCCGCTCATTTGGCTTATGCTACCATCTGGGACAAGGTCGCTGCTACTTGGGTTGAGAGCATGATGCAGAAATAAGCTTTAGCTTGATTCGTGAACACGCGATACCGCAAAGGGGATGCATTCACCAGGGCCTGGGACCGAGAGTTATGTTCAGGGGGTGGTTGGCTTTCGTTCTTGTAATATAGCATCTTTACACTTCGTGACATAGTGACAATGTACCGTATCTTATTATACATGAAGATGGAGTTTACAGTCTATAACATTGACTTGGTAGTCGCGGGCGACATGGAACGCATGGTGCTGTCGTACAAGCCTTGTTGTATGGCTAGGTGAAAACACGGCTCGTTATTCACGCGCTCCTATGACATAACCCACTTGTCGGACTACAGATGACCGTGAGCTAAGCCGGTGACTTTCTAGCGTTGCCCGAGACCGTTTCTGGAAGTGAATAGACGCGCAAATTATTAGGGCCCACATATTGGGCAAGTTCCGAAACCCGAATGCCGAATGCCGCGTCTCCACTTTGTCCCTGTGGACCGGCCGTGTTGCTATCAGCTCAAATGTAGATCACGAAATGGGTCGCCACATCAGGGCTGGTTAGAAGGTGCTGAACTTTGGCTAAAGCTAATATACTACTATGTTTCAGGGCTCGACAGAAATGTCGGTTTTGCTTGCCTACACTATCGGCATAGTATAGTTACGAATTGCTGGGTCTACCCCTCGATCGGAATGTATATATCACTGAGAGTGCGATTTAGTGAGTTTACCCAACTGCTTGACCACTAGTATTACAAAGATCACGGATTCCACAGAGTCGAGTTGAACATATTAGATATGTCGGTCGTAGGCGGCATGTACGTTCCAAGTAATGTTTGAAGCGGGTCTTCAGGATAAAATAGTTGGTCTGGTCCAGTGGCTGAGAAAGCTTCGATGTCCGGGAGAATGAGAGACTCTTCATTCTGTATCGAAGTAACGTCAGCAAGTGACTTGGAATCGAGAGCACAATGGAGACATACCGTTGCCTGGTTTGGATCGACAGCAAATCCGGAGGAGTCGTTCTTGTCGCTTGTCATTGTTACTCTATTATCTGCCTCGAGGCGTGAAGTCCTTCGTGCGTCTGTGATCTGCAACCTGGCTTGTACATCCCGCACAAATTGACGAGCAATGTGAGAAAATTCAGCAGCAGTTGATGCCGGCAAAGAATCCCTGTTACTGATTTCCCAACGGCTGAAATAACCGGCTGCTATGTCCAAGAACGAGATATTGGTGGCCGTCTCTTTGTGGAAAGGATTGTGGATCACAAAGTCAAAGATAACAAAGAGAGCGGAAATAGGCACAATGCCCAGTTGCCTGTTACAATTAGGATTTGTGAGGACATGGACCCGGACGCTATCTCTTACCAGGCTGGAATGTGCGCCTCATGCTCAATATAACGCGTATGATATATAACAGCTCGAGCGGTCTCCATAAGTTGACGCTTGGTTTCTTGATTTGTCTCATTCTGTTGGTCGACTGTAAGATGGATCCGAAGCCGGCACATAGACATAACCAAAGCGTAGTAGATGAACCGTATTTGCAGCGCCATATCTTGCGCGCAGGGGCTCTTGCCTTTCGAGAAGCGAAGTGGGGTCCCGGGCTGATAGGGTTCGGGAAGAGTTTGAATCCAAGCTTCTAGCTCGCGAGACATCGAGTCTACAGCCGCGATGCGGGCACCTGTATGCATCTGAACCGCACTCACGGAGAAGAGACATTCGTAAGTGCGAGACATCAGGCGACCCAGGCGCGCTGTCGTTAACAACCAATCAAGCTGTCCCGGAGTAGTCTCGGAACATGCTGGAATAGGACAGCCTATGTCGTAGTCAGGTATCATCTACATTTATTATTAGTCAGGGGGCCATCGGAATGTAAGTAGTCTTACAGAGCCACGGCCTCGGAAAAAGGAAGTAACTTTTTCCAGCCAATATATAACCCAGAAAGCTCTATGACACGATGTTTCATCCTCTGTTTGAACGTATGCGGCGTTGTATCCCAGCAATTGGACTATTCTCGCGGCCTCGGACATTAGGGTCTCGCCAATCGGAATGCAGGAGAAGTTCATTGTGAAGATTGCCTATGATTTATTCAGCGAAATGCATGATGTTTGCATTACCTTTTCTGCTCACCATCGCTGCCAATGCCTGGTTGGGCTGTCAGCTTGAATCCGGAATAGAGTGAAGAATACGCACTTGGACATGAAGTAAATTTTGGGGTGGAGCAAGTATTCTTGGGAACAGGCTCAATGCAAGCTGAAAATACTTCCATGCTTTCCCTTTGCCTGGAACAAATGATCCACCATCTACATACTGGCATCCAAGTGCCAGCAAAGTATGATATAACGCACAGAATGGCGCATTGTTTGCCAGTAACTCCGGTAATTCTGGCCCTGAGATTCTCCGCTCAAAGTCGGCGCGGTCCAGAAAGGGTGTCAAGGGGTGTAAGTCATCAAAGTAAACTTTGTCTAGGCGTTAAAATTTTGGCCCAGAACGACAAAGATGAGCATCTGACCTTTGATATAATGAGCTGCCTCCTCATCGGAAACTTGAACTGGTGATGCGGGTGTGCTGAAATCGATGCTGATACCATGTGCGTGCTGATGCATAGCTTCTCCCATAGCATCGAGTACATCTCTCAATCTGCCGTGGCCCAGCATATTGGTCAGGGAGTGAATGTGGCTCTCCGAAAAGAAGGCCATGCCAGTACTAAGGACTGAGCCAGAACTGAGCGGGTGCTATGACAATGGGGGTAGATGGCTGCTTACCTTGGTTTTCACGAGCCTGCGCATATTAGCTGTGTTCGGAAACAGAAGCAGAAGTAGAAGCAACTCACCTTGAACATGCAGCATGCCTCGCGATTCCTGCCATCTGCATTCTTATCGACGAGAATTTGGTCAACATAAGATGCCGAGGCATCCGTGGACACAGATGCAGCCGAGGACGCATTATAATTCGATGGAGGTACAGTTGCTACCCATATGTGTATCAGCATCGAAAATGAACCCTCGACAAAAAATGTCATGTACCTGGGCTTAAGATGTCTTCTGACTTCTTTGGCCTCAATTGTCTGCGTGTCAGGCTATAGTGACACTCAACTTTGCGTTTCTATCAAACCTCAAAATTCATAAGCGTCATATTGATCACATCTTTTTGGAAACCCGACCACACCGCTGAACCCACCTGGCAAGGGGTGCAGACTGCGCTGCTTGAAGGGCCTACCGCGCAGCATTAGTTGGCCGCCCAGGCTACCGTCAACTGGAGACAGGTATGTGTCATAAGGAAATATATTTGTAAAAAGAACTAGCAAGCGGGGACGGAGCTGCACTCACGTATGCAGCGAGTCTTCCTTGTCTTGCAATTGTCGCAAGACTTAGCCACGCGGGGTTGAAGTTTATCGGTCATTGTCGCAGCTGCGTCTCGGATTACGGAAGTTGTAAGATGAAGCCCGATGACGGCACCACCCTACAAAGATGGCAGCCCGGGTGCCCCCTCACGTGACATCGGCTTTCGTACGTTGACCCACCACGACCTTCGGCTCTCGATTTGAAGTCCGGCAGAATCGATTTGAACGGAAAAACAAGGTTCTTAGGCAGTAAATTCCACAGTTGGATTAGTACTATTGTCTTGGTGTTTAGTGCTTTCGAAAAGGGGATGCCAAGTCAAAGTTTGCCGCAAGACGAGTTCCGCAACTAATTTTCGATAGAATATACCGTTGAAACATTTGAGTCACCCCTGCTGCTTCGTGGCCATCGGTATATCATCGTACTGGTCTACTCAGCAGAAATATGTTCCAACATTCACTAATAGATGACCACAAAATCTTCAAAACCGGGACAGCAAGTTCTACATCCTAGACTCCAGTTTTTTCCTCCGAAAAGCTTCTAGTGACATTGTCATGCAGGAGAATACTGGCTCATGATATCACAGAAGTTATTACTGTTGTCGTGGCTGGGGGCCTCGAGGTGTTTCGTCAGTTTAGAACGGGCTTGATCGGGCGCGCAAGTGACTGTACAAAAGCACTGTTAGATACTTGCACAATCTACAGGTATGCAACCAGACTGCTGGCACTCACGTAACTGACAGACAGCGCTCGAGGCAATGACCTCATAAAAAGCAGGGTGCCCTATCCCATTCCAATCCCACAAACGGTTGCTATAGCAGAGCCATAGACCCTGGTATCACTGTTGAACAGAAATATAACCGAATGGGGCACGGATATATATACAAAGATGGGTGAGCATAGAGTGTCCCCTTCCAAGTCGCCTTATGACAGGAACAATGAGAATTATTAAGTCTATTATAACATCGATGCGAAGCGTGGTGCATCATCAGAAAGACCATGTGCCGCCTAATCCCTTCAAAACTCCCTCGACACGATGAAATATGAAAAGTCGCTACTCAGACCCCCGAACGCGAATTACCAGCTTCCCCAAACCTCCCCGACCGCTATACACAGTCCCACAAGCCTTTCTCACGGCTTCAATGTCTTGCAAGTCGACGACTGTTCCCACCACTGTTTTGAGTCTCCCATCTTCGACATATCGCGTCAATTCATCCAAGTCCTTACCAGACGATACGAGAAACATGTAGGAATACTCTGTCTTGTAACGGCGTGCTCTGACCTTTCGAACCTGATCAGTGAGATTGAGCCCCATCCGAAAGGCGAACGGAATAGTGGGTTTGTGAGGCAGGTCCATGAGAGGTGAAGCCTGTAGCTGATTTCCAGAAGGTAGAGTTGAGACTGATACAATACGGCTTGATCCCGGGCGCATCAGACACAGGAGCTCCATGGAGAGGCCAACAGTATCAAAGAGAAAGTCGATTGTTCCATGTTCAATCGCATCTCTGGGGTCGGTGTTTGTGTAGTCGATAACTGCGGAAGCTTTAGAGAATGATGCAGAGATGGCAAGTGACTATAGGCTCTTACCCTGATCAATAGTGTTTTCGCCCAGGAGTTCTTTTAATTTTGGGATTTTTGCAGTCGATACTGTAGTGATGACCTTACCCGCATGGAATACATGTTTGGCAAGTTGGCATGCAAATAAGCCGGTCCCGCTCACTATATGTCGTTAGCTAATTGAGCAATATATAAGATTGATAGGGCGTCGAACATCCAGCAGGAACAAAGACAGTTTTTCCGGCAAGGTCACCACGATATAGGCGAAGAGCCTGAAGGGCGGTCATCGCTGCTAATGGAATTGAAGCTGCTTCCTCAAAAGACAGCGAAGGCGGCTTAAGACCAATATGTTCCTCAGAACATCTGATAAATTCGCTACATGATCCTGTGTTTCGCTTTCAGTAAGTCGAGCCATAGAGATCGGGTACAAAACTCTTACCTCGGGATACTTCGGGGAGTCTAATATACACAGCGTCTCCGACCTTGAACTTTTTCACGTCTCGCCCAGTTTCTTGAACAACGCCGGCACAATCGTACCCAATTTTGTAGGGAAAACTGACTGTATTAGCATCATCTCGATTGATGGCAAAAGCTTATACTCACGGATCTTTCACAGCGAGTTTCAAAGCGCCATCGGCTCTCTTGACGTCAATAGGATTGATGCTAGCGGCGTATACCTTGACTATCACATCCTTTGAGTTGACCAGAGTTGGAGTGGGCAATTTCGAGACCAGATACTCGGATGGTTTCGAGTAGGATGATATATTTAGGGACAACATTTCCATTTTGACTATTAGTGGAGGTGTAACAGTAAATGGCAGAAGGAACGTTGATGAAATAAAGCAGTTTAAACTGCGTACTGAATGTACAAATAGTGCGCAAGGAAGAAGGCGACCGAGGCAATATATGATTATATGTTCCTTTTGAACGGTTCTCAGGAAGATTCACGACGGAGCAATAATCGTTCCGAATAACATAAAAAGGCTATTACCACGTCCACTCGTCATTACGAGAATTGAAAAAGGTTCAAATGGACTCGCAAGCCTACCTCAATGCGGTTAAGCCCATGCGGTACCAAGGTGATGTACCCGCATGCCCACTGGACCCGCTATGAGATATCCGAGGTATGGTTCCCGTCGCTCACATAATGCGTGTCTGCCAGTGGCGAAGCTGACTTATAATTTTAGAAGTAAAGTCTAAATTTGAAATCCACGACCCCGTATATGGTCCTGTCTGGTAGATTCTACAACTGCACAGGCCAGGCCATGTTTATTTCCTACATGCTTGTTTCCTTGGGGTCGCTTAGCTATAGTAATCGTCTATGTCGTCGGGAGTATTTTCCTGGATCCACCCTGCCCTCATTCCTCCGGCAGGACTAATGAGCATATCGAAACTGCCGAACCCTATTGAAGGAAAAAATAAAAAATCAACATAACTAAAAATTACTGCGAAATAGATATTCTGAAATGTGTTCATTGTGTACCCTTGCGAGCTTGCCGGTGGTAGCTTCATATGTTAATGTAGAATAGTATCGATGGTCTCCTTGATAGAGCCAGCGTTCGAGAAGCTAGATTGGCACGTGACAAAGACGCTATTCCAAAGTATCACATACCAAAGCCATTGAACTTAGGATTTAATAAAGTCAAGCAGGTCTTGATTGACTTCATCAACATTTATATTGTGAATGGCATGGGATCCGCCTTTGTAGATCTTCAGTTTTCCTTGAGGAAGAAGTTTTGTTGACTTCAGCCCAGCTGCCTCAATGGGAACCACCTGATCGTCGTCCCCATGTAGAACCAGTACTGGTATATTGATTCTCTTCAGATCTTCCGAGAAGTCCGTTTCAGAAAAATCCTTGATTGAGTCATACGCGGACTTGAAGCTGGTGTTCATCCCCTGCTGCCACCAGCTACGAATCTGTCCTTCGCTTTTCTTTGCTCCAGGTCGGTTGAAACCGAAGAATGGTCCGCTAGGAACATCCAAAAAGAACTGCGCGCGGTCTTGACGCATGGCTTGTCGAAACGAATCGAAAACAGACTTATCTGTTCCTTCTGGGTTGCCGCTACTCTTAACCATCAGAGGAGGTACGGCGCCGATCAAGACAGCCTTTTTGAAGCGCTTAGTGCCGTGTTTTCCAAGATAATGGGTGACCTCTCCTCCTCCATGAGAATGTCCAACCATGACCGCATCTTGCACCTTGAGATGCGCGAAAAGCTCCTCTAAGTCGTCGACAAAGGTGTCCATGTTGTTTCCGTCCCAGGTCTGAGTTGATCGTCCATGGCCACGGCGATCATGTGCAATAACCCGATAACCGTGTTCACCGAGGTACATCATTTGTTGTTCCCAGTTGTCACTGCTCAAGGGCCAGCCGTGGGAGAAGGTTACAATTGGTCCTCTGGGATTTCCCCAGTCCTTGTAGAAGAGTTCGGCTCCGTCACGAAGCTTCAAGTGCGGCATGATTGTTAGGAGTGATTATAGGCAATTGGGGAACAAATACAATGTATAAAAGAATCTGACCCTCATGGATTGACACGCTGGATTGTGTGTGCAAATTCGCAGGTTTATAAAATCAGCTGTTTAGCTATGCTGGCCTAGAATCGGTGACCTACTTCATCCCGTACGTCGTCATGACGTTACCAGGCTATTGTGGCTTCCCCATGTCACACTCACTGTAATGCGCTCCATGGATATTAGGTTTGTCCGCCCGCTCCCTCTTATTCTCTCACCAAAATTCAAAGTGTCTAGTCTTTACTTGCCGAAATGCGAAAGCTTATTTAGTGGGCCTGTTGAGGATCCAGCCGTTCTTTCCGCCAAGACAAAGTTGCCTAGAACGTTAGCCCACGTACGGCTACTAGCCTTCTTCCTGTTTCCAATCCATGACAAATGAATATGCAGTACCCAGAAAGTCCCTTCATATGTGCCGCCGGCGTGATGTTGCTCCGTTGTCGTGCTTATGGGAACCATCAAACTCAGATCCACAATTATATCGGGCCTCGGTAGTATTTCGCTCGATTTTACCCATCGTCCGCCTCAGTGTTCCTCACATGCCAGCACTATCATCGCAAGTCTACCCACAACCGACCTCCGAGATGGTCATAAAGGAGCGGGGAGGGATCTGAGGGCATATATCAACCCTGTTACCACCTACGTCAACCAGCGCCGAGTATTGAATCATCAGATCCTGGTCTAGTGTTCGACCTACCGGTAACATCATGTCTTCGACATCAGACCGCTTTTCAGCAGCATCAGAAAAGTTCACCACAGCGTATGTGAATCAAGCATCCTTTTTCCGAAGCAGTAATGACTCCTATCTGAGGGCAGACGCTCGGCATCAGAAACTGTTCAGGTCGAGTTCGGAGGTCAGAAGGTCGATATACCCAAAGGAGGTTACTATGACCGCTACCGTATGAACCCGAACCTCGATGAGGTAGCCCAGGACCCGAATGTCGGACGCGATATCACATTCCTGCGGAAAATCCCTAAGAAACTGGTTGATTCGAGGGTCGGTCAAGTATATGCACCCAATTTCTACTATCGCACTAGCAGCGTTCAGCTCGTCATGCTCGCGCCTCTCGACCGCTTGAAGGCTAAGCTTCCGTCGCCTTTGGAGCCCATCACAGCACTGCCTGGTTACGGTTTAGTTGCATTGACATTTTATTCGTATCTGGTCTGCGATAATGATCCTTACAACGAGGTTTCGATCGCCGTCATCATTCGACAACCGGGTAGCACGAGTTACAGTTCCACGCAACTTCTCAGCTCTATATGGAACCGAACATTTTACGGCTATGTCTTGGCTCTTCCAGTCGACACCGAGATTGCTCGGGTGAGGGGGATATATGGATATCAACTCCCTAAATGGATGGCCAACATTAATCTAAACATGGACAATCACAACATCAAGGCCGATATCAGCGCGACCGACGGAACACCAGATCTGACACTGAATGTACCCCTTCCAGCGTTGAGGACCATTCCATCAGAATCACAAATTGGGACTAATAACGCGGTCAACAAGATTGACGGGAAATGGTACCAGGTGGCTGTTCAGACGAACCCCCTGTTGGCGACGCAGTGTCTTTTCCCTACCAATGTCAAGCTCGCTCGGAACGAAGGTCCGTTGAGTCAACTCCTCAACGAGCTGGGTGTCTCGACCATTGTGCGGATGGATGTTATCAAGGATGCGCAGATGGTCTTGAATATGCCCACTCCATTGAAGGTTTTTAACAGGGTTGGATCATTAGCTTAGCAGCAAAGTTTTGTCGAAGAGTTCAACATTTGAGATGTCATTCTTTCATATCGAGCTAAACAATATATTATAAAGGGTTCAGAATGACTAGCGTCCATAATGGTTCAAGTGCGGATTGATGGGTAGGTTGACATCCTCACAACAGAAACGACCGGAAGAGTATTGTTCTAAAGCATATGTCAATACCCATCAGGACACCTGGGAGCATATATGACATGTCTCCTGCTACTGCCTATGGGATGTGCTACAAGCAAGGTAATAAAGTCTCGTTGCAAAGGCTTTTCCGGAACTCTACAACGTCCTATCTACTACAATCAGGTCCATGTTCTCTAGGGAAAACATGATAAACCACATCAATATTCCAAAGCTCGACGTACTGACTGTCCTCAGATCTGCTTGCACCTGCTGATTTGCATACGCTCAAACGTGAAGAAAATCGGCGAGTTAGTGTGTGGAGTGCCAACCCCGCATTTCACTGCAGCCTACCACCATCTTTGAGAAATCCGACACGGAGCATGTTCTAGAGATCTGCTATATGTGTGGCCGGTTCATGATGGTTGGTGCGCTCCGTCGCTCCTCCGCCGCCACGAACAGCCCCCGCCAATCACAGCCCTGGAGTAGATTAATCGGGAATATTTGGAGTAGGTTGCATACAACTAGCACGCCAGCGCGCGAGCGGGGTTAACTGTTTGCTTGTCAGTCCAGACTTGCAAGCTATCTTCAGGAAATCTGGGGTAGCCAAGGTCAACCAATTTCAGGACAGCAATCTCATGTCATAAGGATCAGTACTTCCTCCATTGCTACAGTGAGTGGTTTTTGAGTGAAGACAATACGCAGACAGGATCGGTTAACTACGTTCCCGTTTCTTGCCAAATAAGGACAGTTGTGGGTGGGTATCATCTCTTGCAGGCCAAAGCGGAGTTCCAGCCCAGTCCGACCAGAAGACTGTGCAGGGACGTATGACCTCTCCTACCGTCAGCCACAAGCGCTGCGTCCCTGAAGACAGGACACCCCGAATATGATTCCGAGGTTGACATGTGAGGAATGCGGTACAACAACAGCAGGGTCAAGAGCGGTTGCATCCATTGCGGCCCTGTGGCCGAAATTGAGACATCGTGGGTTGAAATAGCGACATAAGCATCCGTGGCTATTTTGTATTAGCGGTGCATTACCCCCGCGTTGAAAGCAGCGTGAGAGACAGCAACCTCATTCCCTGGAGCTATATAAAGGCCCACGTTGCCTGACATTGTGACACAAAAATCAACAAGTTCACTCAAGACATCACGCATCTGCCTTACCATCGTTTTCCACAATGATTTGCAAATCCTTCCTCGTTGTCGCATTGGGTCTTGGTCTCGTCCAAGCAGGCCCTATCGCTAAACGTGATGCTGCGACCGTACTGTCGGATCTTGAGACTATTGGAACAGATGTTACTACTCTCAAGACGGACGTAACCAACTGGACCGGAGACCTTCTGGCGGCTCTAGGCATTTTGTCCGATTACAACACCGTCAAGAGTGCTTTGGAGACCGCCATCACGGATACCGAGGCTGCTTCCGCATTCACTACTTCGGAGAGTTCCAGCATCACAACTGAAGTGACTTCGCTAGCCACAATCATCATCGCAACCTTGGATGAGCTTATCTCGAAGGTATGTTCCGTAGAGTTGGCAGGGCTTCTGTGATTTGTTAGAGTAGGGCTAATGTCCTCTTGTAGGAGTCCACTGCGGCATCCGCGGGTGTCACTTCCACTTTGCTCTCCTCCTTGGAGACCCTGAAAACCGACACGGACGAGCTTGGGGCGGACCTGGAGGCAAAAGCCACCACGACGGATGCTTCGACCATCGCTTCGACTCTGGCCTCGATTGACGCTGCTTTCTCCAGTGCAATTGCCGCCTATGAGTGAATTCCACGGCATTTAGTGGTGAGTATTGGAAAGGGCGTTGAGGGCTAGTGGGATGCGTGAATTTGCCATTTTACCTGGCATATCCCAACTGCTCAGGAGGAGCATGGTGAGCAGTGCATGTATTAGTGACAGATTGTCATTAAACCAAGAAGCTTCGCATTTCGGCGCACATTGCAGACGATGGAATCGTTATAAGCTTAGGCCCAACACCTTCTATGTAGTGCGTAGTTGAACTGTAATTCTGGCTGCAAAAGGGACACTGGGTTCTTACATGTCGTCTTAAGCCTTCGATTCATCATAATATTTTCAACGGGAATTGAAGTGGCTAATGCATGACGAAAGTAGATCAGCGAATTTTGCAAGGACGGGAGAATTGTAGTAGTACAATAGTTGTCTGGGCATCTTAACCTGCCAGCGCGGCTTTTAAACATCCAATGGAGCGCAATAAGATGCCAAGAGATTCCGAGAAGAAACCTCTGTTTCATCTCGAACATCTTGGTATTCAACAAAAGCCAACTTAATCAATAGCTAAGTACCCACTGAGATTATTTAGATGGTATATATATTAATCTACCGGCCGTGACATAACACAGTACTATTGTTGCACTGTGTTAGTAAATTGTGAAACTGTAATCCGTATACACTCTTCTATCTACCTAAAAGTAGGGGGGCAGTTTCCCACTCGCTATGGAACAAGTGGGTCGTTATCAAATTCATGTTAATGAAGAGAATATAGCACGAAGTCCGATGACGGTACACTATGCGAGGTCACATGATATCGGCTTTCGAAGGTCGGGTGGGCCCACACCTTCGGCTTTCGATTCCAACTCCGTTGCAACAGGAAGTTCGGGAGCCCGACAAAATCAATGCACTATTTGGGTGGGCATGGTACCGCAGACACGGGATATTACTATTACTATCTTTGTATTTCGCTCTTCGGAAAAGGAGATCCCGATTTCAAAATTGCCGAGAGATGTCTCGTCGCCGAACAATGATTAGTGATACAATATATTCAGAAGGAGGGTCGTTGGCGTCGCGATACCTCAATCATCATGTCAAAACTTCTATATATGTGTTCAAACATCGCTGAATACGCTCAGCCGTCTTTCCTTCAAGCTTATTGTGTCCCTCACATCTGTCAGCATGCTTGCAGCACCTGCTCCTGAGGGGCCTGGCAGTGAGGAAAAAGAACACCATGATTCCACCACCACGCTATCCGGACACGAGCAAGAAGAGCTCAGGAAAGTAGCGTCTCGACAATCAGCAGCATCAACCGCAGCAGGTAGAAGCTTGAAGCAGGACTTTGCATCGCTCATAGACCCCACGAGTCCTCACTTCGACTTATCCCAATGGATGCTTCATCAAGTCCAACAATTCGAAGGGGACAGCAGCGCACGGAAAACGGGAGTTGTATTCAAAGATGTTACTGTGCAGGGAAGCGGATCCGAGATTCAAACTCAACACACAGTTCTATCCTCAGTCTACGCTCCCGTCCTAGGGGGTACGTTCAGTCGTGGCCCTAAAACCGCCAAGACAATTTTACACGATGTTCATGGACACGTCGAGCAGGGCGAGATGCTTCTCGTGCTCGGCCGGCCAGGAGCTGGATGCTCTACCATGCTGAAAACCATTTCAGCGGAGACCAACGGACTTGACCTGTCGTCAAATTCAGTCATTTCTTACAATGGAATACCACAACCCTTGATGAAGAAGAATTTCAAGGGCGAGCTTCTCTATAACCAGGAAGTTGAGAAACGTAAGGGTCATGCAATTGATCATTTGGAAATAAGACTAATTCAGACAGATTTTCCCCATCTAACGGTCGGCGAAACACTCAACTTCGCAGCAGCAGCACGTACTCCTCGAATCCTCCCGAATGGTATGTCGAGAAAGGAATATATCAGCCATGTGAGGGACGTTGTGATGGCAGTCTTCGGTTTGTCACATACGGTCAACACGAAAGTTGGTTCTGATTTTGTCCGGGGCGTCAGTGGAGGTGAGAGAAAGCGAGTATCTATCGCAGAAATGGCCTTGGCTGGCTCGCCACTTTGTTGTTGGGATAATGCTACACGCGGCCTGGATTCTGCGTCGTCTTTGGACTTCGTCAAGGCCCTTAAAACGAGCTCGAGGATCTTTGGGACTACTCATGTTGCGACGCTTTACCAACCCTCGCAAGCCGTATACAATTGCTTTGACAAGGTTATGGTTCTCTACCAAGGGCATGAGATATACTTTGGCCCTACCACGGAAGCGAAGCAGTACTTCGAAGATATGGGCTGGTATTGTCCGCCTAGACAAACGACTGCAGACTTTCTGACGAGTATAACTAACCCAAGTGAGCGGCAAGCACGGGAAGGATATGAAGGGAAGGTACCGCGGACTCCCGAGGAGTTCGGAGTGCACTGGAGGAGCAGCGCGAGCTACAAGCGACTGGGTCATGACATCTCAAGCCACGAGGCGAGATTTGGTGCTGACTGTGGCGCCACCGAAGCATTTAAGCAAAGTCATGCCAAACGCCAGGCTCGGTACACACGTTCGAGCTCCCCGTATTTGATCGATATCCCGACACAAATTGGGATATGTGCTTCCCGGTTTTACCAACGCGTCTGGAATGACATTCCTTCTACATTAACTTTGATGATTGGACAGATCATTTTTTCCATCATCATTGGGTCGCTATTCTATGGAGGCGCGCTCGGAACTGAGGATTTCACTCTGAAGATGTCGGCATTGTTCTTTGCCATTCTGCTTAACTCGCTTTTAACCGTCACCGAGATTCAAAATCTCTATGCTCAGCGGCCGATTGTTGAAAAGCAGGCTTCTTATGCCTTTTACCACCCTTTCACGGAGGCCTTAGCGGGAGTTTGTGCCGATATCCCTATCAAAGTCGGATGCAGTCTTATATTCAACATTGTGTTCTACTTCATGTGTGGGTTTCGATACGAGGCTGGTCCATTCTTTGTTTTCTACCTGTTTGTCACCATGGCTCTGCTTTGTATGAGTCAAATCTTTCGCTCCCTGGCTGCGGCGACTAAGGCGATCCCTCAGGCACTCGCTGCTGCCGGAGTCATCCTACTCGCCACTGTTATCTATACCGGCTACCTGCTTCCTCTACCCAGCATGCACCCTTGGTTCAAGTGGATCTCTTACATCAATCCACTAAGATATGCCTTCGAAGCACTGGCTGTGAACGAGTTCCATGGACGCGACTTCCCCTGCTCGGACCTGGTACCACTCTACCCCGGGTTGACTAACGGGTCAGGTACCTACTTTATATGTGCTGCAAAGGGTGCGATTGCTGGAGAGCTATATGTAAACGGAGACAACTTTCTCTCCGTGAGCTACGGGTACGAATACAGCCACCTTTGGAGGAATTTCGGCATCCTCTGCGCTTTCATCGTTGCTTTTCTCGCCCTGTATCTATTACTCACTGAGATCAACTCGCAAACTTCATCCACCGCGGAGAGTCTTGTCTTCCGACATGGTCGCATTCCCGTTGTCTTGCAGAAATCTGCAAATGACCCCAAGGCCGCCAATATCAGCGCAACTCAAGCACAAGAGGCGGCAGACGAAACGGTAATGCCACCGCATCAGGACACATTCATGTGGCGTGAGGTCTGCTATGATATCAAGATCAAAAAGGAGGAGCGTCGCTTGTTGGATAAAGTCAGTGGATGGGTGGAGCCTGGCACGCTGACTGCGTTGATGGGTGTCTCGGGAGCTGGGAAAACAACCCTACTAAATGTCCTCGCTCAACGTACTTCAACAGGTGTCATCACAGGCGATATGCTAGTGAACGGGTCTCCTCTCTCTGCTAGCTTCCAGCGCAGCACGGGGTATGTTCAGCAACAGGACTTGCATCTTCATACTGCGACCGTACGTGAGTCTCTACGGTTTTCGGCCCTGCTGCGTCAACCTAAATCAGTCCCCGTCGAGGAAAAATACGACTTTGTCGAAAAAGGTATTTCCAGATTCTTTCAAGTGCTCTAGAAATTTACTAAAGTACCTTTAGTCATCACCATGCTCGGAATGGAAGAATTCGCAGAAGCAGTGGTAGGCTTTCCGGGCGAAGGGTTGAATGTCGAGCAACGGAAGCTTCTGACCATTGGCGTTGAGCTTGCCGCAAAGCCCGCTTTACTTATCTTCCTTGATGAGCCAACCTCCGGGTTGGATAGCCAGTCGTCGTGGACTATTATCGCGCTTTTGCGTCGGCTCGCATCCAGTGGGCAAGCTATTCTTTGTACGATTCACCAGCCATCAGCCATGCTGTTCCAGCAGTTTGATCGATTGTTGTTCCTGGCTAAAGGCGGCCGCACCGTTTACTTTGGCGATATCGGACCAAATTCTCGTACAATGCTGGATTACTTCGAGACAAAAGGTGCGAGAAGATGCGACGACTCAGAAAATCCAGCCGAGTACATTCTCGAGATTGCAGGCGCAGGAGTGAATGGTAAAGCCGAACAGGATTGGCCGACTGTGTGGAAGGAAAGTTCTGAATATACCCAAATGATGAGTGCTCTGGAGAAGAAGTGCTCAGCGGTGGGATATACCAATAATACCGACGAACAAGCTGAATCAGAAGGAACCGAAGACGCCTTCGCGATGCCTTTCAGTGACCAGTTCTCTGCTGTCCTCCGCCGAATCTTTCAACAGTACTGGCGGTCACCCGAATACATATATGGCAAGCTGGCCTTGGGCATCCTGTCAGCCCGTAAGTTACTCTTGCCCTTCAGGCTCCATTGACCTTCGGCTAACTACCGTTTTAGTTTTCGTCGGCTTCTCGTTCTACATCCCCGGTACCTCTCAACAAGGCTTACAGTCGTCAATTTTCTCTGTGTTTATGATCACAGCAATCTTCACCGCTCTGGTCCAACAGATCATGCCTCAGTTCATTTTCCAGCGAGACCTTTATGAGGTCCGGGAACAACCGTCGAAGACTTACCACTGGGCAGCCTTTCTAGGCGCCAATCTAATAGCAGAGATCCCCTACCAGGTGTTCGTCGCGATCCTGGTCTACGCAAGCTTCGTGTACCCCGTATACGGTATCGCAGACTCCCAGCGCCAGGGGATCATGCTCCTTCTGATCATCCAGTTCTTCATCTACGGGTCGACCTTTGCGCACGCTGTAGTTTCCGTTCTGCCTGATGCCGAGACAGCCGGCCTCATTGCCACCATGCTGTTTAACATGACACTTGTCTTTAACGGTATTCTTGTTCCTCGCATCGCGCTTCCTGGATTCTGGGATTTCATGTATCGCATCTCGCCAATGACCTACCTCGTGAATGCCATCATTGCCGCAGGTGTGAGTGGTCGTGCGGTTAACTGTTCCGAGAAGGAATTGAGCGTCTTCAGTGTTGCACCTGGGTATGATACCTGCGGGCAATACTTGGAAGCCTACCTCGAAGCGGCCGGTACTGCCGCAGGCAAGCTTCTCAACCCGGAGAGTACTGATCAATGCAAGTATTGTACCCTTCAGACGGCTGATCAATTTCTGGCGAGTCGGGATATATACTACGACCAGCGTTGGCGGAACTTTGGGCTCCTTTGGGCATATATTGCTTTCAATGCTGCCTTTGCTTTTGCTATCTATTATCTTTGTCGGGTGAGGTCGTGGAAGAGGAAGGCCTGATTTATCTTTCGCCCACGGTGGATATTGGTTGATAGAAGTTGATATTTGGTCACTTTCGTTGGGGTTATATTTCGTCATACACCAGCTTACATATAGTAATAGTTTAATTCATTACACTTCACTTCTTTTTCTTTCATCTGGATCGTCCACCTCGTATACAATCTAGAGGTACTCTCCCATCTGAAATAGGATATATAGCTCTGATTACTACTCAATACGATAAGTTGAGATGCGTACTCCAAGGCCATAATCTAAGAGTGGGCGTAGATACCGGCGCGGGGAGATGGATCAGGTGCCAGATCCTATACGGCTTCGGTCTGGGCTTAGCGTTTCAGGTACCCAACCCTAGCGACACAGGCAAGCCTGCCGAAGAAGGATGTACCTACGGGGTTAGCGCTGATGCTGCTCGCTACTCTCTTGGGACTGTCAGTGTTCATATTGGCTGGAGAGAATGTGGTCGCTAATCAACTGGAGAAGAGGTTGATCGGTGTTGAAGGGGTTAATACCAGTGTGATTAGCTCTGAAGGCGCCGCTTGTTTGCTCCAATCGCTCCCGGATGATGTACGCGATACTGTCCTTGTTGCATACAATGAGGCACTAGGAGAGGGTTTCGGCGTTGATTTGATCCCGACATGTCTGAGTGTCCTCGGGGCTGCGGCCTTCGAGTGGAGATGTGAAGAAGCCGGCAGAGAAAGTTTCTGCAGAGAAGGGAGACCAAGAACCAAAGAGCGTCGATAAGGACTCCCCTAAGAAAGCAAGACATTGAAAATCAAGTAGCTATGAAAGGGCCGACTTAGCACTGGTTGCCAACATCGACATCTCTTCGTTTAGATATAGGACTTGAGCTATTCTGAGGTGGAAGAATAAACAAGTTGTATGATGCGACCATCCGCTTCTTGTATCTTTGATCCTACATCTTACCATGGCGCTTACACTGGACTACCAAAGCCTAGGTACTACCTACTTCGACCCCAGTTTTGGTGAGTAGCGAGAGTGCCACAGACAATATATCTTCGGTCGCTGTGCCAGGAACCAGCGGCAGAGCACCCCGCAACCCCTGACGACCGCACCTCAACAATAATGTTAAACTTCTTACAACCTGTACACTTCATCGGAATTGACATCATGATTAATTGTGTAGTACGAGATTCATCGCATCCGTCCGACATTCCGCACCGCGGAACATCAACATTCATGATGTCATCACGGAAGACCGGAGACCCCAATGCAACGCTGCTAACCCTATCAACAAAGACTTGAACCCGCATTTTTGTCCTGCCATTTGTCTGTACAAGACGCCTAGATGAGCACGCTGGTGGGGAAGCTATATCTGCGACACTATGATAGGAGTCGCGAAATGGCTATACTTGGCTGTGACGACGTATTTCCACAGATTGAGGCCGGTTAGCCATGACTATCCTGTGTTGGTTACAAGGGATAATGGTACATATGGTAGTGTGGCCTCACCTATCACATTGACTGTTCAGGAGTCAGGTGGCAATCAGTCTAGTCCGCTACTTTATGGGGTTATGTTTGAGGTAGGTTCTGAGGGAGGCATAATATGAATAATTTAGTAACATTCGCCTAGGAAATGGACCATTCAGGTACTACCCAACTATCCAACTCACCTGATAGAATACTGATAAGTATACTCAGGTGATGGTGGCATCCACGGGCAATTGCTCCAGAACAACGGCTTCCAGGGAAACAATCCCGGCCTAACTGCATACAAGGCAATCGGCGATGTCGACCTCATGCAGGACATTATCAACCCGGTCAGCAGTGCCATAACCTCGTCTTTACAGGTATCTATAAATTTCGAAGCAGACGGATTTGTAGGATTTGCCAACACAGGGTACAATGGTATACCTGTGATGAATGACACGTACTCATGCCAGTTCTGGATGATGGGTGATTACTCGGGAACGATTATGCTACAACTCGCTGGGTCAACAAATGATACCATCTATGCTTCGCATAATATTACCGTCAAGAGCTCGTGGGGAAAGTTCACGCATTATCAAACCTCGTTCAACTCCAGCGCATCTCCTGATGGTGACAATGAGTGGCGCCTGCTATTCAATGGATCGAAGATGGCTGGCGGGACGCTGAATTTTGGTCTGGTGCAATTATTCCCTCCTACGTATAAGTCGAGGTATGTTATGCTGTACATTATCAATGTCCTACTGATAGGTAGCAGGTCAAATGGGCTACGGAACGATATTGCGACGTTTCTGGAGAAAACCCGTCCGTCTTTTCTCCGATTCCCGGGTGGCAATAATTTGTAGGTAATCGAGCCGATTATGAAGATCCTCTAACAAGCGGATAGGGAAGGACTGCAGATCGACAGCCGATGGCAGTGGAACCTAACTATCGGGCCCGTCGTCGATCGTCCCGGGAGAGAAGGTAGGCCCCAGCACCGACACCACGGATGACAACACTAATTGATGCATAGGCGACTGGTTCTACCCAAACACCGACGCGCTCGGTAGGTCTACTACACCCACCCATCACCCGTGCATGTAGTAACACACATAGGCCTTGACGAATATCTCTGGTGGTGCGAAGACATGGACATGGAACCCATCCTTGCCGTCTGGGACGGCAAATCATACGGGGGCATTGTATCCGGCGACGAACTCCAACCATACATCGACGACATCATGAACGAGCTCGAGGTATGCCTCCCATCAACCACTATCCTCCCCAGCTGACAATCAAGTACCTCCTCGGACCGTCCAACTCCACCTACGGAAGCATGCGAGCACAAAACGGGCGCAGCAAACCCTGGTCCATAAACTACATCGAAATCGGCAACGAAGACGACTTCACCGGCGGATGCGACACATACCCAGACCGCTTCTACCAAATCTACAACGCCATCAGCAACACTTACCCCAACATCACCCTCATCGCATCAAACATCGACTTCCTCTGTCTCCCGATCGACCCCCCACCGGGCCTGATATACGACTACCACTACTATCGCAAACCAGACGACCTCGTCGCCATGTTCGACTACTGGGACAACCAGCCGCGCACACAACCAATCATGGTAGGGGAATACGGGTGTCGAGATACCGGCGAGGCAGACGGGATATTCTGGTCCTCGATGCAATGCAGCTGTAGTGAAGCAGCGCACATGATTGGGTTGGAGAGGAACTCCGATGTAGTGAAAATGGCGGCGTATGCCCCGCTATTGCAGCATTTTGGGTATACCCAGTGGTCGGTGAGTTTGTCCCCTGTGCCAATTTTCATATGTATTTGTGCTTCGAGCTAACGAATATCAAGCCAACACTCTTCGGCTTCGACTCGAGTCCCGACTCGCTTACTCCGTCGACGTCATACTATGTCCAACAGATGTTCTCTACGAATCGAGGGGATACGATTCTTCCTGTGAATACAACTGCCACGTTTGGTCCGCTGTATTGGGTTGCGTCGAGGAAGAATAGTACGTATTTTGTGAAGTTGGCTAATTACGGTCCCGAAAATCAGAGTGTTCGGGTTAAGGTGCCACAAACGAAGACGGGGCATGTGGAGATGCTGTATGGGTCGCAGAATGCGACCAATTTCGTGCATAATATTACTGTGCAGCCGACGGTGAAGGATGTGACTAGTTCGAGTGGAACTTATTCGGTGGATATGCCGCCGTGGGGAGTTGCTGTTTTGTCGGTGTCGTGATGGATATTATTGTGGTATGCCACTTTTTGATGTGGAACAGGTATCTACAAGTCGTGTACGTTATTGTGCAGTGCAACAAAGGATGATAAATTTGGTATAAAACCAAGGTTCATTGTGGATTAAAAAGTGATCTTCGTCTAAAGTATATACTACATACAAAAGCCTTTCTCAACTTCCCCTCGCATCTCCCACCTCCTGATGGAGGTAAAGGTAACAAATCACCAGTGACTTGTCAGTTTAGTAGACGGGCACCTTGAAGGCGGGGAACTCGTAGTAGAAAGTGTCAGCACCCTCGTCATCGGACTCACACTCCCACTTGTTGCTCTTCCAGACGGGACGCTTGGGGAACTGGCACAGTGACTGGACCTCGCCGTCGTACTTGCCAGCATCGACGGTGGCGTTCAGACCGGTAGGCTGGATACCCTGCTCAACCCACTGGATCATGGTCTCCATGTTATCCTCGGGGAAGGGACCGTTGGGCTGGAGAGTGTTGCGACCGCAGTGAGCAGCACCGGGGACCAGGTACAGCTGGTACCACTCCTTCATCTGCTCGATGGCCTTGGAGGATCCAAGGCTGGGGTACATGATGCTCATGACGGATTGCCAGTAGTGCACGGAAGAAGCAGTAGGCACACTGGGGTCGTTCTCGCCGTGGTAGTGGATGACCTTACCGCCGGTGGCCTTGAAGTTGGTCAGGTCGGGGAGGGTAGTCTGCAGGGTATCCATGTAGCGGATCATGGCCACGTTCATCCACTCCACAAGGGTATCGTAGGTCACGTTAGTCAGGGAGTCGAGGTTGCTGAGTTCAACGAGTTCAATGAAACGAGTGACGAATTCACCACCCGTGGAGGGAATGTCCACGCCCCAGGTACCGGTGCTGTTATCGTAGGAGGTCTCGCCGTCCGAGAATTCAGATCCGATGCGGTAGGACAGGTAGGCGCGCTCACCAGCAGAGTTGAACAAACCGTCATAGATAGCCTGAGCAACGGCCACACCCTTGGCGGTGACGGTCCCGTTCTGAGCCGGGGTATAGGAAGTCGAGGTGCCATCGCTACGCTTGTTGAAGTTGAAACCGAGGGAGGTGCTGACTTCAGCAGCGCAGTGGTAGGGCTCACCGATAATGGAGGTCAGGTTGAAGTCAAGCTGGCAGAGATCGGTACGGGAGACGACACCGTCGGTGCGTCCATCAAGAGGATCACAGGCAGAGATAGTGGCGTTAACGATCTTCTCCAACTCGCAGGTGGGAGGGTAGTAATCAAGAGTCTGCTCGACCACACTGGAGAACAGGTGGTTGACCTGCTGCTGGCCGTAACGGAAGGCAGGGGCACCGATGATAGCACCATCGTACTGGTCACCGTAGCGCTGGATCTGGCTCATACCCTGACGGCCACCGTCGGAGCAACCCT